TGTGTGTGCGTGTGTGTGTGTGTGTGATCCTGACCCTAACCCTAACCTGACCCTGACCCATACTAGGAGAATCCAGCAAACGTGAATAGTTGGTTCCAAACTGGAAGACTGCCGAGAGTTTCCAGTATGTTCGCTTATTGACTTTATGGTGTTTCTTTTCCAAGCAATAAATCGTCAGTTTGTGTGCTGCCATACTGGTTTGATTTGTAGGCCCAGTGCTCATGCTGTGACTGGTCACTAAAAGAAAAAAGAAAGGAAAAGAAAATTAAACAACAAAAAAACATAGGTGCAGACCCCGAATTGGGTGCAACATTGTTGTCCCCGTTGTGTTTTGTTTGTTTGTTTTTTCATCTTCAGCAAAGCCGTTCCAGCGCAGACCTTTGTTGTTTGTTTGTTTGTTTGTTTTTGTTTGTTTGTTTGTTGTTTTTAGGGAGGGAGGTTTGTTTGTTTGTTTGTTTGTTTGTTTGTTTTTTGTGTTTGTTTTTGTTTTTTTTGTTGGGGTTTTTTTTTTGGGGGGGGGGGGTTGTTGGAACGGAACGGTGTCGGCGACAGGTCCCCTGTGTTTGAGCTCGAAGGCTACTCTTTTTCCCACGGTCGTCGCTGGAGTTATGTGTCGTTTAGCGAAGTTTTAAAATAACTAGGCCCTACAAATAAAAACTTATCTCCGCTATGTAAATCGAAGCAAACAGTTCTGAATAAGCCACATCTAAATACAAAAATCATTTTGTATGGTTCAGTAGTTACAATAATATTTTGTGTACCGTAGAGAGAGGAAAAACAATATTATTATTGCCCACCAAATAAATAATTCCTTCATTTGGAGTCTCTCTGACTTGAAGAGGATCATGGCGGGAATTTAAAGAGTCAGGGCTGGAAATATGCAGACAAATAACATAAAAATCAAAAACAAATTTTAAAAGAGCCAATGTCGCTAGTTCTTATTGTCACCCAGGACTTCGTCTGTGTACGTTCTTTCAACCTAACAAAAACACCAGTAGGCTAGAGTCTAACCTTTGCACTTGCCCTCAACAAGCTCAAAACGAAGATAGTACCGGTGTAGAGTGTAGTATCTTTGCTCAAAATAAATCTTCCCTCTGTCGTAGGCCTATCGTCTTCTCGCCGGCCGAGGCTACCAAAACGCAACGCCCCCAGAACACGCCTCCGGTGTAAACATTGCGGATTAAGTCTTTTCTTTATTATCCCCAGGGCTCTTGTGTAACACTCTCACCAAGTAGCCTACCAGTCAATCCATTTGTTCTCGTTTATTTCACAAAAATGTTGGACAATTCAATTCGACTTTTAATTTATTAATCTAGTTGATGGTCAAAAGACATGGTACAACAGGGAAGAAGAAGAAGAAGAAGAAGAAGAAGAAGAAGAAGAAGAAGAAGAAGAAGAAGAAGAAGAAGAAGAAGAAGAAGAAGAAGAAGAACTC